AGCAGCTGGGCCAAAGCTGCATCAGGAAAAAAAAAGACTGAAAACATCTGATAGAAAGGAGAGTTGTCAGGACAGTAGTTAAGACCAACAGACAGATTTTAGGCAAGGTAGTCTTATCCACTGATTTTCACTTTTCCTCTTGAACATTTGTTTTATATATGGTTCAGTACAGTCTCTGACACCATTGCCATTCTAAACACTCTCTCTTTTCATACATATATTACTCACCCACATATTGAGAATTCCATTTTCATCCATTGAAGCTATCTGAAATGGAGGGCCTGACATTTCTATGGAAGGAATGGCAACAATTTATGTTCATACACTGACCTCCCTCCTGAACAGTATCAAAGGATTGGAAACATTTCCTACATTATTCTCTGAAATTTCTACAGTCCTAAAAAGGGAAAGTGTCCTAATTCTACCAAAGTCAAAAAAGGCATGAAACTTTCTTTCCTGAGAAGGTGGTGAAACATTGGAACAGGCTGCCCAGAGCGGTGGTTGATGCCTGTGGTGGTGCATCCCTCCCCACCTCGAGCCATATTATGATCTGAGGATTCTTTAAGCAGCCTTAAAACATTTGTGACAATGCCCCAAGCCTGTTTAGGAGGCATTTGCACAATGCCTTTAACTACTTGCTTTAACTTGGTCAGCCCTGAATCGGTCAGGCAGTTGGACTGGATGATCATTGCAGGTCCCTTCCAACAGAAACAGTCCATTCTATATCTCTGTCTCTTCTAGTATGCCCAGTTTGTTCTATCAGACAGGCAGATGATCTCTGTCTGCATCTTTTAAAATGTCTGGATTCTGCATGGACCTTGGAAGGGAACATAAACTGCAATTGATGAAATCTTGTAAAATCTGCAATATGCAGCACATTTCTTTTAACCGCTGTGGATTTCAGAGTGCAAGCCTGCGTTGGAAGTAATAATATCTTCTCCAGCATGCTGTCTGAGAATTTGAGGACAGGAGGATTAAAGTTTCTTTGCAAAGGTTGGTCATAAAAAAATAGGCAAAAGGCACAGGAAAAAACACCAAGTACAGTCACACATTTTAAGGGCTTTCAGATATAAGCAAGTTGCTCCACTGACTTAAACAGCATTTTTTTCTGACATTGTAGAAGCACTAAGACTTTTCTAAAGGCAGGTTTTGAGTGGTAACTTGTTTTACCACAAAAGAACAAAATATTGTCTGGAAAACAGACATTATAACAAGCATGCACCCATATCTGATGGGAAGCTATACTGAATGAACATTATATAAATATGAGACCAGAATCCAAACATGAATGTGGTATGCAATTGATACTACAGACAAGAGGCAGAGTAGGATTATAAACTGAATTTTGGCTAATTTGTTTCACTAGATACCTAAAGGAAGACTCAGATGTACTGATGCTTTGAAAAGCAGCTTACATACCCTCCTGATACGAGAGACTTGAGAGCCCATAGTTGTGATCAGTGTCAAGAGAGGTTGAGACAGGTTCCACTGCTAGTATAGGAGAGGTGTGGGTTACTGACTTTAGAATGCCATCTGTAATTAAGGATAATGAAAGTTAACCATGATATCACTTTCAACAAAACCAACCACGGAATCTCAATTACTTTCCAGCTTATGGGAGAACGATGGTTACAAAAAAAAGGTAAATAATGAACTTCATAAAGAATTATTTTGCAAGTCTCAAATACAATACTGTAAATTGTTTCCTAAACTAAAAAAATACTCCTAGATAAATCAATGCTTCATTGCTTCTATTTACTTGTCATTTTCTAAATGACTGCTGCATGATTTTTGCCACTGTACCAGACATTTCACTAAAATCTGCCATTTCAGAGTTTCTGTGAAAAGAATTACGTTCATTTCAAGCTTCATAAACATCAGGGGTAGGAATAAACCACTGTTTACTATGGGTAAGACAAAATCAAAGAAAAATGTCTCTTAATAGAAGGTAACTAGCCTGAAACAAACAATTCACCATGAGAAAATGTGTCCCCTTTTAAAATATATGTGTATTTAGAGTAATTTCAATATTCAGTTTCAATCTGCATTCTTTGTCAGATGCTCCAGATTTCTGGACTTGCCTTGTGCACTGAACTTAATCTCATTTAAGACCAAAGGCATAAAGCTTCCTAAGTATTCAGCATTAGACCTTCTTGCTTATATAAGCAACTACATAGAATTGTACACATACATTTGACTACTAGTCCATTGTGCAACACAGGGCCAAGCACCTCTGACCTACTGAAAAACTTAAAAGTCTATCAACAACCAACTACTGTTTACTTTTACATGGCCACTGCAATTAGAGACACTTGTGAACAAGAGAGGATTTTGTGCAGCCATGTGCTGGTTTTTTTAGAAAATAATACCTCAGTGTAAGTTAAATTGTAGCACCTGCACACACACATAGAAAAATACATAAAGAAGGACATCTTTTTCAATAGTAAAATTATTAACAAAAATGTTTTTGTGCTATTTTTTCACTCTCAGATACAAAACAGTGCAAAGAAAAACAGCACCAATTTATTATTAAGGCTGAGACAAACACTGGTATGTGCACCTCGTTCCCAATCTCTCAACGTACAACTATATCCAATGAAAACATTAGGAAGATTTAAGACTTGCTACTCTATGTAAATTTGAAATGACAAACCATGGTAATAGCCATAAAGATTCATTACTTTCCATCAGATTTATAAAATTTTAAGAATTTCATACATAGATTCAAATGCATAGTGAACAATTTGGGATTGCATCTGCTACTATGACAGTTACATGCCTGAAATAAACTTGGGTAACTTTTGAATTTGTCATCCTTGAATTATAAGCAATTTACAAAAGTCTATGTTATTTTGATCACATGTTAAGTGTACTAAAAAAGAAAAATGCAATGACATGAAAATGTCAAATACAAAAGGAGATCACCCACAAGCACTTTTGAAAAGTAAAATTTCTTCTGGCTTCCCAATATATATGCAACAGTAATTTAGGCCAAACCTAACCAATGCAACTGATTAATTCCCCATTGTTGTTTTTTTTTCGCTGTGCTTCTCTGCCCTAAGAACCTGGAAAGAGCATGTCATAGTTCCTAACTGGTCCCAGCACTAGAGGTTTTGCCCATGTGACAAGCTGGATGACAGAATGTATGTCCAGGTTTTGCTTCAAAATGCAATTAATGCAATTAATACATCACTAGAGCAAGCCAGAGAGCTTTTGGGCCCCAAAGTTTAGTCACAGCTTCAGAATCCCTTCAACGAAAGTAAGTGATTGCTGACTATAGTAGTCAAAATTTGACTTACTCTGCTGTGTACATAAGCAATGATATTTAGCTTTCACACACTACATTTTCCAGTGATGTGACCCTCACATATGTCAAACAAATAGTATCATTAAAGGCAGTTGTATATGCAATGAAAATATGAGAAATTCCCAGATCTTACATTGCTGATAAGTAGGCAATAAAAAACCACAACCCTGACTCAACTTTTAGTGGATATAGATAGAATCTAGAAGTGCAAAAGTAACATAAGTGGAGTTGTAGAAATGTATAGAGAGCATCAGACTAAAAGTTAAGACCCTTAAAATGGTATCTGCATATAAGACAGCTGTATAATATTGGTTAGTGAACTCAATCTAATCAATACAATCAAACCAGCTAACTGCATACAGATGTGCACATCAGGATGAGATGAACAGCTCTCTAGATCCCACACTGACTCTACAGAGATGTGCATGTATACTTTAATACATATCTTGCATGGACCTTACAGAAACATCAAGACTTGGGTGAAAATTTGTACATATTGTCACTTTTAAATGACATTTTAAAAATCGTGGTTTATAGTCCTAAAGCACTTTGATTTTTAAAAATCTTAACTGCATCTTAAGGTATGTGTTTAGATGTAGATAAATGCAAGTTATATTAAGGGAAACATGACGAATATTGACTAAGCTAATGACTTCAGATAAGGCAGTAGTTGAGTAGTTTTAATAATAATAATAGTTTGAATATTACAATGCTCCTTAGGTTCTACAGCTGGTCCACCTCTCTGTTCTCACTGCCTGATCTATATTGACTTGGCTTACATTTCTGTACAGCTATTAATGATTTCAAGTTTTTACTAGACTAAATATAATCTCTGAACTGGCTAAATTAGGCTACTAAAAAACTGTCTGGAGAATGAGTAGTGGAATTATTTCCCTGCACAGATACTAACCAGTGGAAAATGTTGGGACTCTGAAAGTCCAGTCAGTTTCACTGATCATCATATGAGGGTGCATTCTTGAGTCTTCTCGAAGATCCCACACCAGCAATGAACCATCTATTGTTCCAGCAAAAACTAATGTTGTTTTACTGGGACTAAAGCAGCAACATATCACCTGTTAAACAGTAAGAATATGCATGGTTAATATTACCATAAAAACCAATTATTTGATAAGCCTGAAATATGTTTGTACTTCCCAGGCATGTAAACCCAGAAAACACAGATTATATGAGTTTGTAGCAGAAAGGCAATTTATTTAAAAAGGGAAGTAGAATACAAGACTTTCAATAAGCCTTCTCTTTTTTGAGACAAGTGTTGTGTAATCTGCATCTATTGCCAAAAAGCTAAAGGGGGTGATTCAGTTGTACAATAGTGATGAGTGGAGAGAAGTCCTGACAATATCTGAACCAGCTGGTTTGCGTCCATTCATTCTTAAACCATGAAATAAGAATCAAAATTGGAAAACCAAAACAGTGAACAAAACACCATGACCATGACTGCAATCTAGTTCTGAGGCACAAAAGAGAATGAGAATACTGTTTTGTTCATTAGGCTCAAATGTTTCTCAAAAGATGGCATCTCTTGCAAGCAAGACCAAAAAAACCCAAAATACACATAATAAAGTCTTTTATTTGATTGGCAAATATACAGTCTTCTTAAAACTTACCTCTGAGTCACAGATCAAAACTTTCTGAGGACTGGAGGGCTGCCAGATATTCCAAACACATATGAGGCTCTTTCTGTTCAGTAAACCAACACCTGCCTTTTCAGGTAATCCATGAACAGAAAGTAGTGTCTGCCTCTGAACTTGAGAGACATACAGGTAGGATATTTTTCGGTCTAAACCATTAAAAAAATCAAGAAAGAAAAGCAATAAATAAAAAGCAAACTCACTACAGATGAAAAAGCATATTTAGCTGCTATAGCAACAAACAAAGAAGCTCAGACACCATTATGAAGAATATTTCTATTAACAGTGGTTTGTTTTTGAAGCTATACAATAAAAAAGGAGGGACTGGAGAAGGCATCCAAAATATTAGAACTAGGGAGCAAAAAAGAAGACAGTCGGGAAGCTAATTAAATAATTATTCTGGGCATAAGCAAGTCAATCTGATCTGATGTCAGTATACATACTGAAAATTAGGTGTCTCAAACAGGAACCAGCACAGGCTAAGCCTTTGCTGGTTCACCTCGTGTTCATCTTAGACTACATATGGTTCTGTGCTACAACAGCTATAACATAATTACAGATGCTCTATTTTACATTTTTCTTTTCATCTGAACAACTACTGTTTATATGGGGAAGATATAATTGCTTTTCAAATTTATCAGGCTATATTCTCCCTGTGCCATTATGTGCAACTTTGGCCCTACTGTCAGCATAAAGAGTTCTAACAAAATTACAGCCCTTGAGATGGCACGTCAACAACAGGGGCAAGAAATTACATCCAGGGCATATCTATATCATGCTAATCGCTGGCTATATTTTTGGTAGGAATAGATGAAATATATTTCTTGTAGGATGCTCTGATGTTCCCTATGTGAAACCAATCTGCACAGAGCTACAGCAAGAATAGTGGGCTTTGCATCATCTGTGTATCCTGATATGTGCTATTTGCAGAGTTAGGACAAAGAGCATACTATTTTTGCACAAGAAAGAAGAGTTCACTCTGTATACTAAAAGGTGTGGAATAAAGTTGCCTTACCATGGAGAAATGGCTGGTTAGTATTTAACTGGAAACAGCTATCACTAATAGACAGACTGGTTTGTCGAGATCTTAGTTTCCTGGGTTGTGTTGCAACTTGATCTTCCTCTAGCAATACAGCAATCACCTTTCAAACATAATTACATTTATAGAAATAAAAGGGTCATCTTGGCTTTCAGCATTGATATTTGTAGCTTTCTAAAGCTATGTGGATTAACTTACTAAACCTTTATCAACTCTCTTTAATTATATATCTTTGCAAATACAGCTTTACAGACATAACAGTTCACAGCTCTGATTTCCATTCTTTGCAGAGAGATGATTCTCACTGATAATGAGTATGATTTGAGCAATTTATTTAAATAAGTCAGAACAAGAAGTGTAAGTGATCTACCACACTGTATACTTATGCACATAACTAACTCATAAGGGATATTAGGACATAAGTGTACCTGGCAAGCAGACCGGAGGAAATTTGCTAATCTTTGTGAATCAATTTTAGGTGTTAGAGCTCCATTCCCTGACATATCCTGGCTGTTTATGGGACCTATGAAAAACAAAAAACAACAGCCAAACTTGAAGCTTCAAAAGGGAGTCAATTCAGAAAAGTGCAAGAACAATTTATTTTTTAAGCAAGAGGAGATTGTCAGGCATCAACTTCTCTTCAGCAGAAATAAGTGCTGAAGAACAAGATCTGCTGGGGGAATCATTTTTGTTGCCAACAAACAGCAAGCCAGAAGGAAGATCTATTTCTGCCATTTCTTCTTCACCCTCTCCACATGGGGATTTGGAGAGCCTATGGCAGTTTGCTATCGATGCACACTACAAATTCTCACAATTAACGGATACAAAAGAAAGTTTACATGACATGCACACATCCATAAATTCAAATGTTTGTCACCTCCAGACACAAGGGCACTTTCTCCTGGATGCTGTGTCCATTTCTCCAATGTCTCAACTTCCTCAGTTTGAATGTCTCTATCTAGATTGTCCTCGTTACATTGAACATATGCCTAAGGTAAGATAAAGTGATCAATGTATGGGTGACACAGCTAGGAATGACAGCACTTAACTGAACAGAACTCAGTAATTTTAAAACTGATGTGCTCAACCTCTTCTGTTTGTAAATTCAGACCTAAGTGTACTGACACACTGTGCATTTTACCACATTTCACACAAGAGTGCTAGACCGACTGGAAAAATACAGAATGTCTTACATGATGCATAAACACTAAACCCAGCATATTTGAGGACAGTGAGCCACAGACATACAGAAAGTCCTTTAGAAATTGGGGAAGGAAAATGAGAGAGAGTCCTAACACAGAAATGAAATGACCTGTCTGGCCAAACATTTTGAAATCATTGCTTTATGGCAAGTAAGCCTTAGGGATAAAAATAATAGATTTATTACTGTACTGTCCTATTTGCTTTAGTAACTTTCTTTTTTAAGGAAAATGATTTTCCAGAATGACAATCAGCACTTCAGGATTTCAATATTACTATAGATTTGTTACGCACCTGCTTAGTGTTCATTTTACCAAAATTCCTGATATACATGTCGTACTCATTTACAGGAGGCAAATCCAGGAGTGACAAACTAACTGAGAAGTCCAAGTCAATTAGTGGGAGAAGCTCTGAAGCTCGTTTTCTTTAGAATGAAACAAGAGAGTAACACAAAAATGGTTAAGACCAAGTGTTTGGTACTCCAAAAGAAAAATAACCTGATTTTGTACAGTACCAGAGACCTAACAATCCTTTAATCTATGGGAATTGAAGCTGTACCAAAATTAATTGGCAGCTAAAAATACATCAGTAGAAGTACACAGAATATTGTTGTGAGTTTTCATGTAATGTTATGTCGAGATAATGATCACAGCTGAAAAGGCAATACTGATTGCAAATGACAGAAATATGCTGTTTATTCATAAACCCAAACTGTCAAAGCCCAACAGATCATCTTGCCTAAGCATTCAAAAGCTGTTCCGTGAGCTAACAGATGAATGCCTCTTTCTTCCTATAGTTAGGACAGTGGTTAATTCTCCTAAACTAATTTTAGCAACTTACACCACTTATAAGTGTACATGCTTTATAAAGATCTTCTCTTATGTCCTGGCTTTGTTAGACATATGCAAGTGTGTTTTGAATGACCTCCACTGGTAACATCCTGCCTGAATTTGCATTTGATATCTGAGCTGTTTTCAGCTGGGATGGAGTTAATTTCTTCTCAGTAGCTGGTACAGTGCAGTGTTTGGATTCAGAATGAGAATAATGTTGATAACACACTGATGTTTTGGTTTCTGCTAGGCTGTGTTTATCTTAAATCAAGGACTTTTTTTCCTTATGTCTCATGCTCTGCCAGTCAGAAGATACACAAAAGAAACTGGGAGGGAGCACAGACAGGACAGGTGACCTGTGCTAGTCAAAGGGATATTCCACACTATAGAATGTCATGCCCAGGATATAAACTGGGTGGGGGTAATTAGCAATTGTGTTGTGCATCACTGGGTTTTCTTTCCCTTTTTATTATCTATTATTATTTATCTCATTTTGTTCTCGATTCTTAAATTGTTCTTATCTCAACCAATATATCTTCCTGTTGTATCTCCTCCCCTTTCCACCAGGGTGGGGGAAGAGGAGAGGAAGCAGTGCTGGCTGGGGTTAAACCATGACAATATCTCAAATCTAGATAAATTTTAGATCAGTAATAACATGAAACCATGACAATATCTCAAATCTAGATCAATTTTAGATCAGTAATAACATTTTTACACCAACTGGTGTTATCCCTGAAAAGGAACATGCTATTTGGCAACAGTATGTACCATATAGAGTCTTGGTTATTTCAAGAAATTACAACTCTGCAGAGACCTGACAGCAACTAAAAGGCTTGTTCTTTAGAACTCTAAGTCAATATCTAATTAAGTGACTGAAGAATCATATGATGGAATGACAACCCTGGCAACCCATTCTGTAAGAAAGTGATACACATAAACATAGATAAATTTCTGTTATAAAATGACATGCAGCAAAGCCTGTAAATTATATTTATGTAAGAACTACTTCCTGCTAGCTAACAAATTAACATTAGACTCCAAGTCTCAAGCTTATAAACTTCACATATTTCAAATATAATGAAGAGAATTACATCTCACACAGTGAGTTGCCATTTTGGGTGAATTATTTAAAATACACTTACTTCTGCTTACTTGCCATACTTTGGCTGCTTTGTCGTTGGTTTGCCATTTGAAAATCCATGAATATTCCACAAAAAGAGTTTCTGACAGAAGAGGATTGGTTTTCTGTGATATTGTAAAACACTGTTAGTGTTACAGTTCACACTTTACAGCGCAGGAAAATGAAAAGCAGTAATTCTAAAAAGCAACAGATTTATTACAACACAGCTACTAAAAGTCACTAGTTCACACATTACACAAAGTGCTCTAACACAGTTTTCAGCACAAGGAGCTTAACTTCAGCAATGGGCCAACATTTGTCCCCTTATTGTGGTCCTTCATCAATCAATTTAAAATGACTGACCACTGTAATATTTACTTTAGAAGACTATGATGCAGAAAGCACCTCTTTCTTTCTCTTGCCATTAGGATGTCCCCTGTTCCCCTGTGTACAGTAACACATTCTATGAGCAGTTCTAAAAATCACATCAAATTCATGCACACTTCACCATGGAGACCTCAGAGCAACTTTTCAATATCTGAAGGGTCTACAAGGAGCCAGAGAGGGACTGTTTGTTAGGAACTGCAGTGACAGGACAAGGGGTAATGGGTTCAAACTGAAGGAGGGAAAGTCTAGGTTAGATGTGAGGAAAAGGTTTTTTACCATAAGGGTGGTGAGACACTGGAACAGGCTGTCCCATGGTGGCAATGTTCCAGACCAGGCTGGATAAAGCCCTGAGCAACCTGATCTAATGAGGAGGTGAAATTTAAAAATCTGATTCTATATTAGAATGCCATCCTGTTCATGATTATTAATGTCCCAGAATCCTGCCCTATAGCATTAATGGAATTAATTTATTGTTTCCATACTGTTTATTAGAAAAACAGCAATTGCATAAATCTTATGCAAGAAGAAAGTCACATGACAGTATACTGGTTCTGACTGCAATGACTATTTAACTGAAAACCTGTTGACAATCAGAACATTTTAGGTTGGAAAAAACCTTTGAGAGATACCGCAAAGACTTAGAGAAACTCCATGCTATTCTTCTGTGACTGGACTAACTGGACTAAAACGATGTCTAAGATTCTTTTGCACAATGAGTCTCTACTGCTGTTCACACGAGTGTGGAGTACAAAGGGGAACCACAACTGTAGGAAAATAAGTAGATCAAGCACTCAGAGGTATCACAGCAACTGAATACAAGACAACATTTCAGAAAGAGCCTGCATTTGAAAGCCATATAGGACTATTTATTTAAGTAGTATTGACATTTCTCTCATCTTCCCACCCACAACAGTGGCTTCAACTTTGCTTAAAAGGAAAAGGCAAATTTAATGCCAGCAGAAGCCCCAAACTGTTTCAGCGCTCCTCCAGTTTTCAAAATCCAGGCACTCATATCCTTTTTACCCAAAATAAGCCATATTAAATGTCAGTCTGTACTTTTTTTATACATCACATTTTAAATGATTAGTAATGCCTCTGAATCATTCTTTAGAAATGTGGAAGTTACAGTGCTTACCCACAAACCTAAGTGACTCATCCAGAGCACCAGATTTTTGTCTTTGGGCTGACTTATAGAAAAAGTGGCCTGTTTACCCCTAAGGTTTATGTGTTACTCATGCATTTAATAAAAAAAAGACTGGCATCTAGTCACATACCCATGATTGGTTCTGTTTTTTCATTTTCAAGTTTCTTTGGCAATGAAGTAAAAACTCTATCATTTTCTGCACTAATTGCTCTTTGAATTTCTTCAATTTCTGATGTTCTGGAAAATGGAACCTCTCTTAGGTTTTCTTCTGCATCTCTTTCTTCACCACCTTTGTCTTCATCATCTTCAAAATCATCTTCATAATCCTTTAAAAGCAGCAGAACTTTCAATAACTAATAAACATGGAATTTATATCAAATTTTCAGCCCTTTTTAGGAAATTATAAAATGCTGGCAATAAAAAAATCTCATACAGAGGGCTATAAATCCTCTGACTGAAATAACTGTTTGATAGCAATCAAATGGCAGCTCTTGATTGTGCAGTAATTTTAATCAAGAGAAGACAATCCCACAGTGTTGCTCTTCTTCTTCTGCCCAAAATAGAGTTGTACTTTTTTTAAAATATCCTAAAGTAGAAACCATATATTTAGGTGAATTATGTGTTCTTTAAAGAAATAAAATGACAGTGTTCAGTGGCAAAAATGCTTCAGGGCTGGATGAGGTTGTTTATTTGATAGTGTTCATTCAAGCTGCCCTTCAATGGTAGGCTCAAATTTACTAAACTACCAGACTATCTGTTTACAAGTCCATGCCTAAGGCTCATACATTCATAATTCTCTTAACTAAGACAATTCATCTCATGCTCAAATAAACCCCTACCACAAATGATATGAGCAAGTTTGCACTTAATGATACAGGGTTACTCCAGTGAACCCACAAATGATATGAGCAAGTTTGCACTGAATGATAAAGGGTTACTCCAGTGAAGAGCTCAAGAGGGGACACCATCACTCCTAACAGCAGTGGACATGGATTGTAGCTTCACTGACCAAAGGATGAGTCTAGTTCAGCTCACAACGAAACCACATTCAACATACTCTTGATGAGTCTAGTTCAGCTCACAACGAAATCACATTCAACATACTCGTGTCTTAATAACTTAAAAGTAGACAAAAGAGAGCTCAAAGTAGGAAGTTCGATTAAACAAATTAGTGAAAAGGCTGCTGCGTGTCAATACTTTTTTCCTAACTATATTTTTGAAAAGAAAAACAAAGAAAAACTTTTTTTTAATCTGAAATTATTAGCTCTCCTAACTATATTTTTGAAAAGAAAAACGAACTTTTTTTAATCTGAAATTATTAGCTTTGTTTATTTAAACAACTTAGCATTTTTCACAGAAAGTCATTTAGATAATTGAAATCCAGCAAGGCAAAAGGCATTTTCTAAAGACTTCAACTCAAAAGTTGTTTCCCAACCCCTGATGAAAACTAAATATATAGCAGCTAGTCGTGAAATCAAATCCAGCAAGGCAAAAGGCATTTTCGGAAGACTTCAACTCAAAAGTTGTTTCCCCACCCCTGATGAAAACTATATATATAGCAGCTAGTTTCTACATAACATTTTTGCTTATTATCTACTGTTAGCCAAGTTAAGATCACTGTCACAAAAAAAATCTGAACTAAAACCCATGTAACATCCTATAATTTGTATTTCTGTAAATCCAGCAAGGCAAAAGGCATTTTCGGAAGACTTCAACTCAAAAGTTGTTTCCCCACCCCTGATGAAAACTATATATATAGCAGCTAGTTTCTACATAACATTTTTGCTTATTATCTACTGTTAGCCAAGTTAAGATCACTGTCACAAAAAAAATCTGAACTAAAACCCATGTAACATCCTATAATTTGTATTTCTGTGAACAAAGTTATTCACTATTTTGATACTTAATTACTTCAGACAGACAACTTTTACTTACTTCAAAATCATCTTCATAATTTGCTGAAAAGTCATCAGGTAATGTGTCTGAATTATAGATGTGTGTGTCTTTCATTTCCTAAATGAGAAAAATAAATGAAACTGTTATCTGCCAAATCTTAGCCTAAAATAGATTAACAGTTGTTCTTCCCAGACATTTCTACATTTTCAACCAACATAAAACAGTCTATAAATATAAATAACAAGTGATAATTACTGACCTGAACTAATAGTACAGGAAGAAAAACAGAACTCAACCTTATCTTGGGAAAAGCAACTCTTTTTCCACCAATATTTTTACTGGAAAAGATGTACAAACTGCTGTGCTGCCTGTAATTTCAATGATGGTGTAACAACAAACTTAAACTGCTCCACTTTTTCGAGGATTAAACAAATTAGCCCCATACCTAAGTTATACTGGGAGACTCATTCTGTTAGTAAAATAGTGCAAATGTTGAAACTGGCAAAACACAGACATGGATACAGCAGGAAAATAAGATATTTTTATATGTAAATAATTCTGTTAACATTGAATCCTCTACTTTATTTACATGTAATAAGATTTATGGCATCCCTGGACTAACTTCAAATAAATTTTCTCTCTTTAGCTTATTAACTTGATTAAAATAATGTCATTTATTTACCCAAACACATACCCCAAACAAACATGAAACTTAAAATGACATACACTCTACTCTCCAATCTTTAGTCAGCCTTTTTCCTCCATGGCATCTTCAAAATTATTGACTAAATTTTCCACATGAAAGTGCTTCCAAGGGGTTTCAAAATGGAAATAAATGTGAGGTTTTATGAAAATTGTCCAGCATAACAGCACACCAAAGGACAGTAGCTGGTTGCCAAGTGCCTGATTAGGCATGCTTCTGATCCTTCCAGGACTTTGCAAAAGCTGCAGCCACCTAGTTTTCACAGAATGTGGTAGGTACAAAAGTATTAAGGACATTATATAGCAGGAATCAACACTTCTCAGAGTCATCAGGCTCCTAGAACTAGGACTATAGCACTTCGACCTTTGTGGTTGCTGCTTTTTGTTACTTCTCAAATCAATCTTTGGATCAAGAACAAATTATATATAGTCAGATTGTCCATCTGGGCAAAATAAGGCAAAATTTCTCCAATTTGTCCTGCTTGCAATACCCAGCAGTAGCTAATTCATATGGAATCTTTTTTAAATCCTCACTCCATTTAGTCAGACACATGTAGTAACACGCTCATAAAGATGGTTATAGTCTTTACTACCTTACTATAATCATCTCAGAATATGCCTAGAGAGCTGCACTTTAGCTTAAATTTCAGAAAATGTTGACTTACAATCCTATTTTTATTATTCCCCTTATCCATGATGCATCAATAATTACAGTTAGTTATAAGGTAATGTTTTAACAAACCTACCCTTAAATCATCCTTCTTTCTTTCATTTTCTCTGCTTTTTACTCTCTGGTTTGTTTCTGCTGCTTGCCCTTCTCTGTCTCTGTGGGAAGATCCATCTTTAGATTGCTTTGATTTATGTTTTTCTTCCTCTTCTTTCCCATAATGTTTATGGCCTCTCTCTCTTGACAGCTTCCCTTTTTCTGGGCCAACAGAATGTTCTCTTTTTTCTCTGTGTCTTCTTTCTCTCTCTTTATCCAACTCTTGATCTTTCTCTAACTTGTGTGCACGTTCACCTGCTTCAACTTTGTAGACTAAAGATTTGTCAATTTTCTTTCTTTCATCATTATCCTGGAAAAAGAAAAGTAACATTTAAGTGTTCCAAAGTTTTTCAAGACCATTTTATCTTCACAAATCTATCCATTTTTGACCATTAGAATGATAGATTTCAAAGTACTTAATCTTTCTGTCACATGGATCTTCCAGCCACTTTTTTTTTTTAATTTCCTATGATAGCAAGTTTCAAATTATCCTAGCACTTGAGATTCTGATATTTCTTCTGGGACACTACGTGCTTTGCTGCAGAAAATTCTTTGGATTGTATATTCTTCACACAAAAATTTCTTATTTAGTAGATGGTCTAACATAAAGCAGGATGTATACTCATCAACACCCTTGTAATGAAGGCATAAACAGCAGATGGAAAATTTTGATGTAGCTGTACAAAACTGAAGCAGTTTGCTACGAAAATTTTCTTTCACATTTACTTTAAAAAAATAAAATTAAGTATGCCCTTAAAATAGAATGGCTGAGATATATTTTGTGGTTTGATGGGTACACTTCTGTGCACTTCACTATCTATGCATCTCTTGAATTTCTTGGAAACTGGAGTCTGATCCAGTTTCTTCATTATTCTACAATTTTATCTTATTCCATTATGAAACACTTTGCTACCTTCCCTTCCTTTACCTTCTTTTCTTTATGCCTTCTTTCTTGCTCTTCACTTCTTGTTTTCTCCTCCTCTAGAAAACAGATCCATAAATTAAGGAACAAATTTTATTAAACTCAGTACATAATTAACTCCATCATATAGAAAATAATATTTCAGTGACATGTTTTCTATAGCATAAGAGATTTCTGAAAAGAACTTAATATTCTATTGAAATTCTCTCTCCAAAGCTGGTTACTCCTTCTTTCTAAGGAATCCCTATCTTCTCAACTGTTTTGTGCAATGGTCAGAGTAATGACACAAGCTACTAACATCAGCAATCACCCAGCAACTTGGAGATTCAAATGGATCACTCAGCACAGAACGTCTAGGCAGGAAAGTACTTGTTCTCTTCAAGCCAACTGACCAACAAAACCAGTGACATTCATCCTCTCTTCAGAGTAAGGGAAACCAGCATCAATTTTTGAAAAAAATCAACAAAATAAAACTAGGTTACCACAAGATTCCATAAAGATCAACATTTCAGTAGGTACTCACACCTGCCTGTCTTCATCCTCCCTGTACAGATGTGATATGGTTTCAGAGTATTCCTATCTAGATATCGAATATTTCCAAGTGCAACAGCAACCCAAAGCAACTTACCCAAACGATGCCTGCTTTCTCTCCTTCTGTGATGTTCTTTATCTCTTCCTTCCAATGATTTCAGATTATTTTGTGTATCTATTTGCTTTAAGTCATGTCTTCTTTGCTTTTTGTCTCGTTCTCTATCGCCCTCCCTATCTTTATGTTTTGGTACACTGTATCTCTCCTCCAAATGAGACTCTTGAGCCTTATCCTTGTGTCTCTCTCTGTCTCCTTCTCTCTGATGTTCTTTATCCTTCTCTCTCTCTCTCATTTTATCCCTGTCTCTTTCACTAGATTTAAATCTCTCTCTCTCTCGTGTTCGTTCCTTGCTCTTCCCTCTGTCTTTGCGTTCATGTCTATGAGTGTCTATGTCAAGCACAGACTTCTCTTTCTGCAGTTTCTTTTCTCTGTGCTTTTGGTCTTCACTTTGATTATCTGGTTGTGATGCCTGAAATTGAATTTAAAAAATCTATTATTATTATTATTCAGCAATCTACTTTGATAAGAGTATACTCATGTAAAAAAAATTTAGTGGATTGCTAAATGCATATTTAATTTCCCAAACTGTATTAAAATGCTGCTGTATTTCTAGGCTTACTTCATTTCTAACATTATGACTGTGCTTATTTTAAAAAGAATATATGAAATAATAAGATACATATTGGAAAACAGCTTTTAAAAAAATATAACACAAACCTAATAGGAATATCAGTGGTGAAACTGACTAGAGATTGAATGCTTATTTTACTAGAGGATAATGTAAATAAACAGTTTAAAAACACACAACAAACATGGCAGATGATGAAAACAAATCACTAGATAATATACATGTAGGAAAGTAAGTTTATATAAAGCAGAGCTGTAACTTGGATTTGGGTGGGCAGCAAATCAGACCCCAGAGTGGTGTGTGATTATCATAACAAGGGATTATTTCCATTTACCTAATTAAGAAATTTGTAAAGTAATCTTGTATGACCTGTGTAGCTACAAACAGCTGAGTGGCCAGCCTCTGGTTATCCTTGGACTAGACAGGTTCCAGCACAGTCACTTGTGACAATGAAGTTTGCAACTACACATTAAAGATCTGTACTGTTTGTACTGGATGATGCAGATTTGATGTGTCTGGTACACCAAAAAGCATTAAAGAGAAAGAGCTACTATAGACTCCACAAGAACAAGCAGTCAACCCTCTATGTTTAGACCATCAATAAATTCCACTGCTGTAAGATAACTTCACATCAAGACTAGTAGAAACAGAATAAAATCACCTTAAGATGTTTCCTAAGTTCTTCTGATTTCCAAGTATCGTCTTTGGTTCTTCTCTAGAACAGAATATATGGAAAAGACTGAGTAATCAATTTGCAGAGATAAGTAAATCATTAAACAATAATACTTCAAAGGAAAGGGTCAAGGTATATATGGCAAGTATCACTGAATTTTGTCATGCAAACAGTAATTTGATTTAGCCCTAATGCTTATTTACAGTAAACCTCCAATTTTGTCATGCAAACAGTAATTTGATGTAGCCCTAATGCTTATTCACAGTAAACCTCACCTGAGATGACCTAGAAGAGGCCTAAAGCTCAGACTTTTACTGGGTTATCCAGCTCCATACACACAGGGTAACCAATGCTGAGGTCAGTGCCTGTGGTGGGTAACAGCATGGCCCTTCAAGATAGACTTAAAATTGGTGTTCCAATGGTAGACCAAATGGGTACACACAGTCAGGCCATTTTGGGAGAGTAATCAATGAATCCATGTCATTAGGTGCAACCTCCTCCTCTGTTAGATCTAACTTCAAAGTCCTGCCCAGAGTCTTATTTCAGTGAAGTTTTAATATCTCCGAGGTTGGAGTTTTTCTGGGCAACCTGGTTTTTGGGTTTGACACCTCTCAATTAGAAATGTTTCCCTTATACACAGTCATAATATCCCTTGCTAATAGCTAGGGCTGCTATCTTCTGTCCTCTTACAGTAGATCTCTGGTAAGAATTTGGCTCCATCTTTTCAACAGATCCCCTTTAGGTACTTGAAGACAGGAGTTTGATCCCCTCTTTGTTTTCTTTTCTCCAGGCTGAACAGCTTCTTAGCCTCTTTCCCACACACATCAGGGCTCCAGCCCCACAGCCACCCCAGTGCCTCACTCCAGAACATCCTTAGCACGGTGGGCCCTAACACCAGACCCAGCACTGCGGGAAGGACCGCACAAGTGCTGAGTGGAGAGGAAGAGACTTCATGACACATGTGACCAGAGTGGATAACCATAACCCCCTGAAAAGCATCCTAATAACCTACGTGCAAGTTTCTGTCCACCAGAACACCGAGATCTGTTTTCTGCAGAATGTGATAAATGACTGAGTCCCAAGCAGGTCTCTGCTTCACCAACACGCACCCAGCGCTCTTTGCTTGCCCACATTTGTTTAATAAATTGTAAACTTTGATTGTGATCCTGCTTGGGACTCAGCCATTTATCACGATTCGGGGCTCGTCCGGGATGATCTTGGTTCCTGAATTCTGACTCGATCTAGGAGGGGCACCCCACCATTCGGTGGCTCTCATTCAGGTCAGGACCAACACCATCCTGAACCTGAATATAGGCAAGCAAAGAATTCGATTTTTATAAACTCCCTTGCCAGCTGAATATTTTAGCTAGTTCGTTGAAGGATGATGACTATATTCAGAATTACATGACCAGGCTACATTTATTCTCAAGTTTAGACTTGGCAATAGTTACTAAATATTAACAAAATAATTGCTGATAAATATTGGAATGATGATCTGCACCGGTAGAAGAAAATAAACATATAGTGTCTACTTTTTTTGCTAATTCATTATATGGAAGCAGCATTTTGACAGTACATTTTTAAAATTATTCTACAAGAAAAAAGTCTAGCCTTTTCAAAGTTAGATTTTATAGAGGATTGCAGTGGATTGGTAAACATCATCTGAAGTCAATCAAGAAGGCAGCCTTTGTTACACAAAGAAAATGCCCTTTAAGTTTTATTTTCTTCTGATAGTTAAAAAAGCCAAAAAATGCAAATATTTACTACGGCAGAAAGTCAGATGAGAAAGCAAAACCAAAGCTGATAATTTCCTTGAGTGAAGCTTTAACAAAGCCTAAGAAACTCAACAGAACTTGTGTGAGGATAACCTGGAAGGAAGGATATGGATGGGAAGAGAACAAGAGTGCTGTATTAAAGTCTCAAATAGTAACCTACTAAAAATCCCTCATATATGTGATCATCTGGTTTTCGAAAATATTTAGGTATGTAAAAATCCCTCATATATGTGATCATCTTCTGGTTTTCGAAAATATTTAGGTACATATCAGCAAACAAAGAAAGAATGCTAATGATGTTAGTAGCACAAAACCAGCACAGCCAACAGACAACATCAGGTAAGGCAGCTTGAGATTGATTTCAGAGCTGAGCCAAAAAACACACAGCAAACACTTCGAGGTGATTCTCTGGTGCCCAACAATATGCACCTGCCAAGTTATCTGGTGTCACCTTCTCACCACTGCCAGAATCTGCTGCTTTTATATATAATGATTTTCCACTTAAACCTCTAATTTTTTAGGAAACTGACAAACAAATAGAAAAAGAGAGATGTTTTATAACGTTTGAAGAAACTTAATACCTTTGAGAGCACCGTCCCTCTGTAAGTATATATACACACAAAAATGTTTAAAATGAACTTTTAAAGGATTTATTGAAGTTTTTCACCTGTCTGCTAATTTAGAGGTCCTTATATACTCACTTAAATCCAGATTACCTATTTAAATGACACTGAGGTTTAGCTTCATTCATCCACCTGAGAGAATTCAGGTCACATAAAATGCCACAGATTTACTAAACTCAAAAAGTGCTATGAAAATTATTAACATTTAAGAATCTGTCCTTCAATCTAGACAAAAAGTTTGTTGCCTTATGAAGTCAGTTGAACAAGAGACTTTGCTACTTTAGATAAATTCTTCAAATGGCATCAAGAGTGGTTTCTCCACTCACTAGAAAGATCAGAGGTTTCCAGAATGCAATGTTTAAGAACTCAGATATATATGATTCTAAAGAATGCAATGTTTAAGAACTCAGATATATATATGATTCTAAAGAGAAAGAGAAATTTATGTAGGTTTTAAGACAGAGAAAAGTTCTTTCTGTTTTACACATAAATATTTATCTTTCTCATTTCCAGTAAGAGTTGCCAATTTGAGAGCACTCAAATAGGGAAGCAGCACAAGTGATAGAAAGGAGCAGCAAAAGGAGGATTCCTCACACAGTGTGGCTGTTAGTACCATTGCCTCTGGTCTTTGGCACTCTTATACCAACACACCCAAAAAGATTCAGATCAAAGTTTAACCTTCCATCACAAATATTTATCTTTCTCATTTCCAGTAAGAGTTGCCAATTTGAGAGCACTCAAATAGGGAAGCAGCACAAGTGATAGAAAGGAGCAGCAAAAGGAGGATTCCTCACACAGTGTGGCTGTTAGTACCATTGCCTCTGGTCTTTGGCACTCTTATACCAACACACCCAAAAAGATTCAGATCAAAGTTTAACCTTCCATCACAACTCACAGAATTGGTCAGGTTGGAAGGAAGCACAGTGGGTGATCTGGTCCAACCTCTCAAGCAGAGCTTCCATCACAACTCACAGAATTGGTCAGGTTGGAAGGAAGCACAGTGGGTGATCTGGTCCAACCTCCCTGCTCAAGCAGGGTCATCCCAGAGCACATGGCACAGGATTGTGTCCACACAGCTCCTGAACACCCTCAGTGATGGAGAATCCAGGATGTCTCTACGCAATCTGTTCCAGTGCACAGTGACTTGCACCGTAAAGAGCTTTTTCCTCGTATTCAGGTAGAACTTCCCATGCATCAGTTTCTGTCTGCTGCCTCTTGTCTTATTGTTTGGCACCACTGAGCAGAGCCTGGCTGCATCTTCTTGCATTCCCTTCAGATACTTAATAGACACACACTTTTCAGTAAAGAGGTGATTGATGTGCTACAGTTACTGAAATTTTTCAGTGATCCTAAAGTGCTACTTCACACACCCTACCCAGCCACTGTTCTAGTTTCTATTTCCACTGCATTTTCCAGTCAGCATGACCACAAATGACTTAACTGTAAAATACAGATTCACACAACAGTAAGAAAACTGATTTGATGCTTCTGCTTTTTCAAGTAAAAACATAACACAATAATTGACATTAGCACATCCAAGCTGTTTTGTTTCCTTTATTTTAGACCTCTAAAACTTTCCATACTTCAACACCTTAACGCAAAAGTTCTGTAGGTTCCTACAGAACTAAACCCAGGCAATCAGTGGTTACAGGAGTATCAATTATTGAACACAGCTTTGTGTGGAGTATGAAATATTAGATATTTCCCTAAACAACCTCTCCTGTTCCGCAGGAGGATCCGCGGCCGATGCAGCCTCATTCCCACGCTAGAGGAGGAAGGAATTCCTCACTCCAAGGCTCGGAGCGAGGCTCCTCGCCGCCGGCAGGACGCGACTGAGGCGGGCGGTGA